TAAGTGAAGAAATCAATTTCACCCGTTTCTCTGGAGGAGCTGCAGACATTCGAAATGCAATAAATGTGAAATACATTCATACCTTAGAGTAAATGGTTTCCCTTTTTATCAGGAAAATAGATTTAAACAACGAAAAATTAGGAAAGCCATCTTTAGAAATGCAAAATTGTAAGAAATAAATTCCCAAAAAACTGGTACAGCAAAGAGATGAAAACATATATATTCAATAGTCTTATTTTATTTCTAATGTTTATGAAACAAATAATTTTCCTTCTAATAATGCATTACTTTCTTTTGGTTTATCACAGGAAATTCAAATAAAATGATTTATTATTAAAATGTCAATAAGTTTAAAGGATATGAATACATATTGAAAAAAATCCTGCTGAAGAAAAAACTATTTTCTATGTTTACAAATTTAATTTCTACAAAAAGCTTTTACAGAGCAGAAAACAAAATCCTGTTCTTTGTGCAACAATGCAGCCTAAGGAACAAAGAAATACCACATATGATGGTAAGTGGACATCAACTTCTACATTTGCATCTATCCAGATGCTGGGATGTCTCTAATTGGTAGATTCCATTTGCATGGCTGTGGGTAGGCTTCCTGTATATGTCGCACACGACAAACTAAATTAAACAAGAGAAAAAAGGAAAAAAATTCTTGACTCAGTTTGAGGACCCGCATTCAGCAAAGTTAACAAGACCACAGAATTACATGCCTTATACAAACAAGATTTAGACCAACAAGGGCACCTCCTGAAGCAGCCATGGGTCTGAAGCTTCACAAGATAATATCTTAATGTGATGCAATTTTCAACAGTGTGAGTTTCTTGAACTTTGCAAACTCTGATGTCAACTAAACAGCAGATCGGCACCTGCCGCAACAGGCTGGACAAAAAATGGGTTTGCATTCTTGTGGTAAAGGATGACAATTTATGCGGGTGCTCGACTACGCCAGGAATCCCACCCCACCCTCTGTTGAGTGCACTATGGGCAGGAGAGATTGTGTTTATGTTACACTTACGCTCCACCGCACTCTGGAAATTGAGTATGCAACATTGACTATTTTCAGTAAATCAGTACCCAGGAGGCCTCTGGAAGACTCACGCTCATGAAATATTTATTTGAACAGGTTTGTGTTTGTGTACGTCCTCCCGAGTTGAGGCTGCAGCATAGCTGGTGTCAGGTTTCTGAAAACCTGGCCTCTGCGCAGAAATATTTTAAGGGTGTATTCACACCTGCCACATTTGGTCCCCTTTAAATGGTCTAGAGTTTGTGTCCTCTTTTCGTCTATACCTTTTATGCAAAAACGAACAGAGACCAGCCATCTCATGTCTGGACCAAACAACGGGATGAGATCCATCTAGCAAACCAAAGGACCTTTCTGGTGTGAATACACCTCGAGTCACCTGTACAGTCAGTTCTAGCACACTTCCCTTTCCTTACTTCAGGGCTAAATCTTTCACTGACTCACTATTAATTCATATTCTCTTCTTCTTGGAGGCAAGATGATGATTCTAAAGTATAACAGTACCAAAAGATTTTCCAAAACACAGAGAACAGGCTAAATTAGCTGAAAGCAGGTGTTATTTCATTAAGCTGATATGCACCATCATTTTAACCACGGTACAGGTGCCATGGCATTTTATCTTTAACGTACATTACCTGTCTATGGCAATACCTGCAAAAGGAAAGGAGTAGGTGCCACAAACAGGGATACATTTATGTTTGTCCTAAAAATGTAAGTCAGAGGCAAACGAAAGCTGAAGACTAAATCAGAGACAGAGAAAGCCATTGATGTAAGTATGCAAATAGACTTTTTTTTAGTAGTGTTCACAACTAGGTTTGGATGATAAGTGCCACCATTTAACTTTAATCTTAATGCTAACTAGTTTGAACTGATTTAAAGGAAGCATGTGCATTTGAGTATTCAAAAAGAAGTTTTCCTTTTCTCTAATAAATTAGTGCAAAGACAAAACCCCAATTCAGCTGGTGACAATTTTTCACATTTGAGAGTTACAGGCCCTTGGGGGGACATTTCTTGTGTTCTCTTAATTCACAGGTCCCTTAAACCCCTAGATCCTGAACAGATCCTACCATAAATTTCAATTCGCTATAAATACCTCATGTCTAATCACTCTGCAGTCTAACGCAAAATCTGTGCATCCATGAGGGATTATTTGCGACAAGAAACAAAACAGACGGGTAGATCCTACTTTGCAAACTAATTTCAGATTAGTAGCTGCATAGGTTCCTATGACATGCCGAGGCCCCTTAATAGCAATGTAACTCTCACACTTAATAAACAGCTTGAAAATGTATATTTTGTTTACAAGAAAATATTCACTTTTCAAATGTACCCTACCAATTAGATGTTTAGAATGTTTAACCATTTATCAAATTCAATTTCAGATTTTTTTTGTGAAATTTGACAATTTAAAAAAAATAACAAAGGAAAATTGATTCTACTGAATGTATATTGAGACAATTGACTAACACTCAGGTCAGCTGAGAAAAAATGCATTACTGATTTACATCTTTAACTAGAGGGGGGCTGCATCTGTTTTTATTTGAGAACATAGAATTCAGTCCAAAATCGCACAGTTCTCTTTCAAATCCTCAATGGTTTGAAATATGCTCTGCACTCACTCCAAACAATGTTTCTACATTAAGATTGAACACCTCTTACACAAGCATTCTTCCCTCCTTTTTGCATTTGTTTCCTTCCGTTTAAACATCCCCCCCAAGAGAAATGCAAACCTGCTTACCTCCATCTGTCCTCTGCTGTTTTTTGTTGTTTTTTTCTCAGTCAAATCAGAGAAATGTGCCACTGTGACATTATGGATGTTTTAGCAGTGAGCATCTTTTATCCATAAAATTCACTTCAATTAATGACAAACTACTGACCAGCAATAGCTTAGCACAAGGCAATCAAAAAAGGAACAAAAACTTCATGTTATCCAAGTTGTCAAACCTAGAAGGAAACAAAACATTTAACCTCACCTATCACAAGAAAACCATCCACTCAAATTGTAGCTTAAAAAACTTTTATTGAAAGCATGCGCCTAGATCCACAATTCAAACCTATTTCACTTGTTCAAGTTTATTGATAAGCTGTATTGGTTTATTAAAGTTTGTTTAGAATGTCTTTAAGTTTATAAGCTACATTGAATCTGAAGTGTATTAGTGAATGGTATGTAACCATCCTGGTTAATATCTTAACACGTGTATTCCATTCAGTTTTTAAAAAAGGATGGGCCTTTTTCTGGGATGTTGGTGGCATCGAAGGGCTGGCCATTTACTTCTCTCAGTGTTTTACTTTATTTTTGGTCATTTTATACCCAGTTTTATGGGTACAAAATGGAGCGAACGTTTCATACCCACTTTTATGTATGAAAAAAGAGGAATATTTACATCTATACACATTTTTTTAAACTAAAATAAATAATCAGGCGACTGCAACCTTAAAGGGGAACACAGTTTTTTTTTGTTTGTTTTTTATTGGGCCCTTGATTTTACAATATTACATCATGTTCTTCTCACCCATATAACCCATATCATTTGGAGCTGTTCTGAAGATATTTGGTTTTGTTATATCCAAGTAACGTCTTCCTATGGGCAACGAGTTGAAGGCACAAACTAAACTGTTCATAATTTATTCTTTATGGTACGCCAGCATTCATAACATGTAGACGAATAACTGTCCCCCAGACATCCGTAGTTATATATTTTATATCTATATATATATATATATATATATTTTTTTTAAAGCAAGTGGATTGTGTATGACGTCATAGATCCAAGATTGCTTGGATCATTTGCCATTTCGGTTGGTTCAGGGGACTTAATATTGCGTTTCATCCAATCTGAAAGAAGATTAAATGAAAGCGGAATTCAAAATAAAATATGTTGGAAAAAGCCTCAGATTTTCATATGCTGGTATAAAAATAAATAATTTGTACATAAAATTGCTTAACTCACAATTAAAGTCTATGATTTTAAAAATGTTAATAAATTACATTAGATATGTGATAGTACAGAGGTTGATACAGTGATACATTTCTGGCCAGGGGTAATTTGTTTTTATTTGTTTACTTCCTGGAGATTTGAAAACCTCCTGTTCAAGGGAGGCTATACAGCCTTGTGTCTGTCTGAGAGTAAACGTGAAAAAATGAAACTGAAGGAAGGAGGCATTAGTCAGAGTTAAGTGGAAGTCAAAATTGTAGTAACAAGCATTCCCTGAGAATAAGCTGCTTTTTTCCCCACCCGCCTCTTTTTAAAATTAAAACAAAAAAAAAAACACTTTTATGCATATGACATGACTCATAAAATTTTCTGAATGCAAATGAACTTCCCCACACGTGTTCCAAATGTTGTTTAAATTTGAGAGGAAAAAACAAACAAACAAACAAAAAAACAATGAACTTAGCTCTGCGAGGTTTATACTGGATGGGGGGAAATGTTCTATGCAAGCTGAGTAGAGCCTTCAGCCGCCGGCTCAGTTCACTCACTCATATTGCTTTATTGTTACCAGCTGTTGGCTCTGAGGGGTTGACAACTCCAACTCACCTTTCGCTGCGCTCCGCGCGCCTGCTTTCCCGACTCCACTCGGAACATGATTTTACAAATAAATAATAAGGAGCGGTGTATTCAAATGAAGCTCTGAGAGTAACTTTACAATGGGTTCTGGCTTGATTATCGGGGGAAACAGTGGAGGTGAACCATATCGAGCCAACATTACTCCCTTTAATAGACGCTGAAACTGCAGACAACCTGCGGGAGACACCAGCTGCGAGGCCTCACAGTGACACCCCCACTCACCCTCTCTCATATTGCAATATAAATTCAAACAGAGCAATCCCTACAGTGCGCATCCCACTGTTCTCAAATGGAGGAAAGGTAACCTGCTTTTGTGATGGAGGAACCAATAAAATCAATGAAATGAGCATTATATTTATTGACCTGACTACTGTGGGAATGTGTGTGTCAGTTCTTACCCGAAGTAAGCTGTGGTCGGTCGAGGCAAGCTGAGAAGATGCACTATAACTGTGAACGATAACCATCCCAGGAGTAGGTGTCCATCCAGCATTTTGCTGCGGCTCCAGGGCAGATCATTTCGTTTCTCCTGAGTAGCTGTGTAAAATCCCTGGCTGGAAGCTCAACACTTCTTATACAGAGGGGAGCGCTCCTCCCATGCACATAGAGAGAGGAGAGAGAGAGAGAGGGATGGCAATACATGCTGCACTGATTCACAATTACCTCTCAGGTTTCACTCATATTTTTTAACCCCAGTTTGACTTAATTTATGATTAAGCGACACAGAGGCGTAGACAGAAATTTTTTATAAGGGTGGTTGAAAGCGGATAGGCACCAGAACCTCAAAGTCAATCTCAACTGTTCCTACAAGAAAATTAATGAGTAAAACATCTGTATTTTTTAAATAAATACAAACTATACTTTCCTACAGCCTTTGCTAACAAATAGATGCATATATTTACACGTCCGTAATCTAGATAAATGGTATAGTGGATAAAACTTTCAGTTTTGAATTCTGGGGCATAAATCTTTTTCATTGTCATTACTTACCTACTTGTATTAATAAACATTCTGCATAAAATTGATATTTACAAGCACTGATATCTTGATCATTTGATAACTTTTTATTAAAATAGTTATTTATCTATGATTTCACTCAAGACTCCTAGATGACTTACAGAGACACATAATTTTCTCTTTACCCCATAAAACACAAAATCTAGTTCTGAAAAGAACATGCATTCTGTACTTATCTTTGATGTTAGTATATTGATGTGTATGAGTAACCACAAAAAATTCAAATGTTTTGATTATATTCCACTTGAGAGTATTACTGCAGCCACCATCTCTATTAGAGGGGAAAAAATGGTAGGGTGGCCACAAGGGTGGCCAATGATTGACTAAGGGTGGCCATGGCCACCCCTGGTCCCCCCCATCTAGCTCCGCCGCTGGTGCGACAGCTTTGTCTGTGTGGGTAAGGGCGACGAGTGTCATTCTTAGCGGAACTGGCATGTACAATAAAATGCTTTCAATCAGACAGTTTATTTTCACAAAGGAGCAAATCCTGCTGTAAGCCGGAACAAACTGCTGTAATGCTGCTTGGTCTGTACAGCATTCCTTATTTTTAATGACTTAGCTTTTAAATTTTAGTCTTTTCAGTTAACAATTAAAAGTCTGACAATTGTTTTCTTTTTACAGATTCAACTAACTTTATATTTAAAGCTAAAGGTAGACAGACAGACAGCAGAGGTGTAGCCAGAACATTTTTATAAGGGTGGCCAGGCAATAACCAATGTACGCCTAAGGAACCAGAACCTTAGGGTCAATCTATATACTGATCCAACAGGAAAATGAACAAACACAACATCCATATTTTCTAAACAAAGATAAACTATACTTTCCTACAACCTTTACTAACAAATAGATGCATATATTTAAACATCCATCTAGATAAAAGTTCTTGTGGATAAAGTAATTTCAGGTTTGAGTTCTGGGTCAAACATATTTTCCATTGTCATTACTTACCTACTTTTATCAATAATCAATAATCATTCATTCGCCCCTGACAGACAGAAGGACAGAGGTATTCTTACTTATTCAGTGCATTAGAATACATAAATAAAAACTTTATAGAAACTGAATAATATAATACTGAAGCAATGCTTAAATTATTTGAAATGACTTAGACTTATGACTTATTATATGCAGAAGGTAAAACAAATGAAGTATGAAAGTCAAAATATGAATTTCTGAAAATTCAGATCTAAAATGCAACTTAAAAGAGAAATAAAATCTATTTTGAATTTTAAAATTTGTTTTCTATTATCTTTTTCTTCAGTATTTACTTGATATAAATTTCCCATAAATAGATCATAATTGTGATATGAAAGAATAAATACAAATGGTCTTCTAAACAGTTTTTTTCACATATCCAGGTCTCAATAGCTTACCTCTCATTTTTGTATTAGGTCCCCCGGAGTTATTACTTTGCATAACAATAGCAACTACAGCTACACATCATTTGGACTAAGTCTCAACAATTTTAGCCAGCTTATATTCTAAAATAAGTCTTCTTTGCGCAATTTTTCAAAGCAATACAGAATGGGTTGCGTGTCTATGAACAGCAATTCTTTAAGGCTTCACTTTGCATATTTCGGTCTAAAGTGGATCTCTGCTCTCAGTTTAAATCTTTTCCACATACCAACAGTTTTATTCAAAGAATTGCCTCTATTTATCTCCATCCTTCTTCTTATTAGCTTTCCATCAACTTCAGCACCTCAGATTATCTGCCACTGCAAAAAAACTGCTTAATTATTATTGAGACTAATATCCACATATCATCCATCTTTTATTCTGTAACTTTTTAGTCAATTGTTTGTATTTCACTGAAGTTGAAGTTTATCCAAGAAAGCAATTCTTGAGTCCTGAGTAAAAACCTTTCAATAGCATAACTATTAGTCAACATTATGTCAGGACAATCCTCGATGTTTGCCATAGAAATACAGAGAGGTATTAAGATGATTTCCTTTACATCTTAAACAATGGCTGACCCCTTTACTGACAGTTATGTTGATTAAAACTCTGTACAGCCTTTAGTTGTAATGTGAGTTAATTATGAGTTGAAATGCAGCAATTTAAACGGTTATAATCATTCAAAAATTTAACATTTTGAAAGAAACAACTAAAGTAAAGGCTTCGCAATGGATAGAACATTGAAGAATCAGTTAACTCTTATGTTTTCTTTTTAATCAAAATGATTTTGATATTTATGAGGCTACTTGTTGCGCCACGTGAGCAGGAAGCCTGTTTTATTTGGTTTCCCTCAGTTCTGAGTTTTCATTGTTGTCTAACTATTGTAAGATGTATTTTGAGATTTGTTTTTTCAATCTGATTGGTTGATTGACTTTATTGATCTCACAGTGGAGAAATGTACTTGTTACTATTGGTTTCATTTCCATTTTGTGTTACTCCAGTTTTTTTTTGTTGTATTTGAGTTGTTAGGTATTGTTTGTCCTCTGCTGCCCTCGTGTGTCAGTCTTTTACATAGCTACCTTCTAGACTCCTCTGTCCACACCTGCTCCCAATCTTCTGATTATCCTGGTCTTTGTTCAGTCTCCCATTTATACACCTCATATTCACTCACTGTTTGCTGGTTCCTTGTTGTTGTTTTGTTACTCTGTTGTCCCCGTGCTTCCCTTGTGAGTTTTCCACTGAGGTTTTCTTGTTTTTGGTTATCAGTATTTTTTTTTACTTTTGCCCCTGTTTGCTTCTGGATGTTTATTAAATCTACAATACTCACTGCTGCCTCCTGAACTCTGCATTTGGGTCCTCAAAACCTCCTCTTAACCTTGACAATTGCACAGGGTATCAAGTGGTAAATTGCACATTATACATTGCACAAGTTATTGCCATTGTAGTGTTGCATTGTAAAGTCTGGTTGCAGCAGGGATGAATGTCAATATTATGGAGCTCACTGTTTTGGGGACAACTTAGTTTTTTTTTTTTCTGTACTGCACCTGGTTTCAGGAAGGCCTGAGTGGCCATGTCCCTATCATTAGTTCTTAGAAGCCCTGCTTTGTCCGCCTACCAACGAACGACTTATTCCCTGCGAGAAGGAGAAGACGCTTGCCCCAAACCGTCTTTTCTTGTGTTGTTACCAGAGGAGAAGTTACAGATTTTTCATCTCCTCTATCATTATGGAAAATGCAAGATTTCTCTCCAAAAAAGTAGATGGATTGGCACCACCTTCTGGGCATCAGTTGGAATATTGTGACAGCTGCTGGGTCATCCTAATCAAGACCTTACTAGCCACCCTAAACCTGCCCACAGAAATAAACATGGATGATTTAAATTTGCTCACAAAATTAAGGAGAGCATTAAACAAAAAGGAAGATGTCTGTGCTTGTAAAGGATAGATGGAATAATTCTGGGCATTTAACGATCAAAAAGGGGATCTATAGTACAATAAGGAAAGTGGGCTGCTAGCTATAACCTTTTAGTATTAGGTATTATCATCAAAAAATGTAATGGCTATACTAGTGCATGCGCCCCTGCCACCTGCTTCAGTAACATGTAATGTCCTCCACAATGTTACCTCCACACTCTCAACACAACATCCACAGGCCATTTTCTAAGTTGAAGACTTTCAATAACTTCTCCCTGACCTCTATTCTCCCAACTGTAACCTAGTAAAATGCCTGTCACACCAAATGTGATCAAATTCTTTACTTATGTGACACAAATACCAATGAGGCTTATACAGGGCAACACAATTTCCATAAGAGTGGATGTTCACTTGTTTGGTAACTGTTTTTTGGTTTTTAAAACTACCTTGGATTTGCAATATCCAGATTGACTGAAAACCTCTATTACGCATATAAGGCATACAGTTTATCAGTTCTCTCTCCATAAGATCATGACTTGGCTCATCTTCAGCTTGTGCACCTCTTGTACACAGAAATCTATATGTGATGCATATTGTTAAGAGATGGTCGAAGGAGACTGAAAAAGCTATGAGGTACTGTTTCATCTAAACTGTATGAGTGGAGCTCTGTTCTCTTCATGAAGATGACATTGAATCAACCTTAACATAATCTTTCTATAGAGAGAAATAAGTTCAGATAAGGGAATAGAAATTACCTAAGAACTGTGTCCTCAGAAACTACGACGGAATAACAGAATAAAGCTGGAGAGTCAACTATAACAGGGCATCAATGGGGTTTGGAAACGCCTTGAAACAATCTCCATCAAAACACTTAACAACTACTGTATTGAAGATTTTAAGGGCTTAATGATCTGAACCACATTTCAATACCTTTGATCAGACACTTATCCATGTCCCAGCACAGTAACCTCTGCAGAGCCTATCACTGAAGATGAGCAGCTATTCTTTCTTGAACTTCAAAGAAGAAAAAGGATAGATAAACAGCTTTTAGCCATCACCCACCCTCTCTTCAACGCTACAGGTAAAGAACGAGATGTTGTAAAGTTGCAAAAGACACAGATTCTAACAGCATCAGTTCCAGGCCCCAGAGGTGCTTCTAAAACGAAATGTTTTTTTACCATGAGCTAAAAAACGGAAAAT